TAGCATAACTAAATGAAGTACTGTGGTGTATTGTTTGGGTTTTTTTGTTTGTTTTTTATAAATGCTTTCTGGCATCTGAGTGCTGAATATTTCTACAATGCCTTTGATTTTAAAAATAAATTTTTTTCCCCCAGGGATTTGCAAATCATGCAAGAAGCCACCACCATTTATATTAACCAGTTTTTCTTTCTTAAAGGATTCACTCCTGAGTTAGCTCCATTTAAAGGATTTTCTTTAACTTTTTGTGTATTTCTTATGTATCTCTTCTGCACAGGGCCAATAATAAGAAGTGGACAATACAGTATTTGCTTCATTGTGTGGGGGAAAAAAACCTTTGTTAAATATATGGATGCAGACGACTTGATGAAGATCTTAATTTGTTTTTGGTTTAAAATAGTGTTTTTTTTTTTTTTTTGAAAATGTACAAAATATCTATCACTACTGATAGGAGGTTAATATTTCTGTGTAGAAATGAAAATTGGTTTGTTTTTAGTATTTAGTGTAGATGTACACATTCCAGCAAATGTATTTGCAACTATTATGTGGTCAATGCTTTGTGATATAAATGTACTTTTTCAATGTATACTTTCACTTTTAAAATGCCTGTTTTGTGCTTTACAATAAATGATATGAAACCTCCTGTGTCGGTAAGTTGGATATGTGGGTATTTAAAGGATTCATAATTTCTTAGCAATGATAAATTAAGATACATATACACAAATATATAAGCTTTCCCCATGAAATATTAATTGAGTTTTTAAACACTGGCATGTTTTTTCCCCCTTGCAGTATAGTAGTAGATTGGAGGATCTTTTCCATTTATTGTATTTGGCTGTTTCAGCACAAGTAATCCTGATATCTTCATTTTTTTTTCCTTCTGTTTGATTAAAACCTGCATGTGTGTACAGTGATCTTTTGGCATACTTCCATTGCATTAACAGTGAAATTTCCTTTTATACATGACCACTGTTTCAGATCTGTACTGCTGCTATAACAGTTAACCTTTCTGTTCTTAATTTAATAATTACTTGATTTCCAAGACTATTTCAGCATAACTAATTTTTAAACAGTTTTCGGATAGTGAATATGAGTAGTTGATTAAGAAGTTTTTTCATGTAAAGAAACTTTCAATGTATACAATATTAGTGTGTTTCTTTTTAAATTTAGGGTAGAAAAGTGAATAGTATGCAAAAAGTATAGCTACAGTGCATCTGCCATTGAAACATTGGGGTATGGAAATGTTCAAGCTTTTTTCTTTTTTTTTTTTTTTCTTTTTGCAGTATAGATAAGCTTTGTTCTGTAAATGCACAAGTCCAATCATTGAATCAACTTAAGTTTTTATGTACTTGAAATCACTTTATTACTCTATAACACTCATGCTGAAGTTCTGATATTTTGTTGAAATCCATTGTTTACTCTTTGCATATTTGTTGGCTCTTTGCATATTAATATATTAGACTACATGCAAATACAGTCTGTCTTGCCATTGTCTGTTGAAGTGCAGGTTTGATCCAGCCAGTATAGAACTAGCTCTGTAGGGGTGAGGAGGACTGTGCTGTGTATCATCCTTGATTGTGTTCCTTCAAGGAGCATTGCACTGTAAGTACATCAGAATGACAAATTGATGAACTGCAACAGTATCTTTTTGTCAATGTTCCACATAATGTAAATGCCATACTTTGTGTGAATATTATGTTGGAATACAGTGCTGATATCTTGGAAAACCATAACTGCTTCTTAATTTAACATAGAATAATACATAGGTCTGTATTTTTTTTTAAGTGAGCTTAATGGGTAAGTATTTTTGATATGCTTTAGCTATAGCTAAAGAAAACTGATCATTAAAATTGAATAGTATTACTCATTGGTGCTCCTAAAATATATTGTTTTTCAATGTACAATATGCATATCTTCTATATTAATATGAAAGACTTGAAATGTATCAGACAGAAGTGGTTTTCAGTTTGCGAATATTAAGCAATGTAGCAGTTTAACACCATTTCATAAATATATATTAGTTCTTTCATTGGTGGGGAGCACCAGTTGTTCTGAATATACTATTAAGGGAGATGTACAAGGACAAAAATGTTGAGATTACTTACAGGGTAGAAAATAGCAGTTCAGTTCATTATAGATATTTTGAAATGTTTTTGATTGTTTTATAGAACGTGGAGTGACTTCCCTTGCCCTTACTTAGATGTGGATATATAGTTCTAGTTTCAAGTTTAGTAAGGAGTTAGTTATGTGTTATCTTTAAGAGTAGGGTTATTGACATGAACAATTTCAGTATTTTGCATGATACTGTTTTATAGATGACCTTTTAGGAAAGTGGTGCATTTATTAATTAAACTGAAGAAGTAGTTCAGTTGGATTCAGTATCATAACTCACAAATTGGAGGCTGTTGATTTTGATTCATTTAAGGTTTAAAATCTTTATTAATTGCAAACAGTGCAATTATTTATACTTCACAGTGCCTTCCCAGACCTTCCACCTTAGGTTCTGCTGCAAAAAGCAACAGGTAAGCACAACCTAAGGACATATATAAATAAATATTTCAGTACATTAATGTTGTCCCTGTGAGGTTTTTGTGGTTGTGTAATTCAAAAGCAATCTGCTACTGCTTCCCCAAAATGTATTTTGTTATTTATGCTACCATTTCAGTGGAAAGTCTGTAAGTTGTTCAAACAACTGTTTACATTTCTGGGTAATGGTTTTTGTTTTTTTGTTTTTTGGGTTTTTTTTTTTTTTTATGAAAACGAAAAAAATGATGAGTAGATTGCTGCTGTAATTGAACTACATCCAAACTTTTTGTGATCTTTTCCCAACTATAGAGGGATTGTTAAAATTAAGAAAGGGCAATTACAGTTTTCTAGACTTAGGAAATCACTTGGTTAGAAACTTCAACAGCCTTCACAATCTTTTTATGATTGACAGGACATTTTCTTTGCCCTCCAAAGCTTGGAATCTTTATTTTTTTCTTATTCTTGAAGTATAATAATTCAGTAAGGACATTATTGGTCAGAGTTTTATTACGACTTTTTTTTTAGACAATTCAGTTTTCATAATCTTTATATACACTGAAAAAGGAAAAAATTATAAGGAATACTGGCAGTATGTTTTTGATAAGGCATGTGCATCAGTGAAATGTTAACTGTATAGCAAATAACCTTTCATAATCTGTATAGCAACCAGTATTTTTCTGATTTATAATACTTTAATAACTGACGCTGCATTTATTTTTTGCCAGTTTAAAATGTTTGTGTTCTTATAGATGATTTTAACTGGTACATATTTTGAGTTAAGATGAATGTATTAAAGCAGCATCATATCAGTTTTGTTTATTCAGTTTCTAAAATGTGCTGATCCTTTTAAAAACTCCTGCTTATCTCTACAACAAAGAAAAATATTCAAAAATACTGCCTTCATTTTCACACACAGTGCTGAAGATGCTGCAAGCACCAAATCATAGCTCATAAAATCAGGTCCTGAGATAGTTACCCATAAAGAGGAATCCTTTGAGTGTATGCCATTGGTGAGCCGATGAGCATGGACCATAGAAGGGCTCAATGTAGAAGGTAAAATTGGCAAATCATAATTGAGAAATATGAAATGTATTCCCATACATAATATGGTATAGGGTGTAATGTACCTGCTTTTGATCACTTTTCATTTTAAAGTGCTATTCGCTTGATCTTGAATGTTCCATGAACTGTTAAATTTTGTAAGTTATATAGTTACTGCACCACATTTATGTGTGTGTATGTATTGTTTTAATAGTCAATGATAGGTATGTTAAGACTGATAATACAAAGGAGCTCTTTGAACCTTAAGAGCCTGTCAAGTTTTGGTTAGTTGTAGTTTGCATTTTTATAAAATATAGATGAATGCTAATAGATATTGGGGCATTGTTTCTATCTCAAGTTTTTTCTATTCATTACCATAAGCCTTCACTGATACTGCATTTTTTTAAATGGCGCTAATCTTAACCTTGAAATAAATGGAAAGCAGAAAAGGTGAGCCAGTTGACTTGAATGCAATGGATGTTAGGAGTGGTAGAAACAATGTTTAGATTGAAATTGAACTGATTTATTTTATTTAGCACTTAAAAAACTTGACAATGTGTTTCATTTTTTAATGATATTTTAGAGTGGTGTTATGTAGAATTCTTATGGTTTGATGTTTCTTTTAGAAATGAAAAGTATACTTTTAACTAATGAAAATGGTTTTAATACTAAAACTAATGATTTGATACTAGTTGTTTATAAACATTATAAAATATTTCCTTAGACAAATACCTTGGTAGTTAATTCATAAGGGTGGGTTTGGGTAGGAGTGGCAGAGTACCTTAAGAGGGAAATAGGAATATATGCAGAAGTGATAACATTTGTTTGAATACTCTGCCAGGAGAACCAGCTCTATCTGCAAACATCTGTTGTCTAGAATAAGGATGTAGAAATGATCAATGAGGATGTCTTTTTATTTTCTGAAAATTCTGCCTCATTTTAAAATTATTTTAACAATACTAAAGATAATTTTGACTCTGAAAATAACCTTATTTTTTGTTTAGTCACTTGAGTTTTCTTGCCACAGTATAAATTTCTGAGGGATTTTTTAAATTGGTGCTTTTAAGAAGCAAATCCCGAGGTTTTATTTTCTTCAATGATAGCCCTATAGAAACTCTTAAATGTATTTGCGCATATATATATATATTTTTTCTTATGCATGCTCGATGCATTTTCGTCCTGAGAAAAGTGTTCTCTACAGAAACTACCCGTGTGTAAAAAGAAGATTGGCTTAAAATGGCTACTGTGATGGGAACAGTGTCTTAGGGAGATGCAGCTTGGACTTGAGGTAAATTGAATACTTTACAAACTGTGGTTTAGAGTTTGCTTTAATGACATTGTATGTAAAAGGGCACATGATTGCTGTAATTTTGTATTGATTATGGTTTCCTCAATAAAAAAAATAAATGTACATTGATCAATATTATAAAAGAGTGTTTTTCTTTTCTAAAATATTGACTTTATTTTTTAATGCAGAAGTTACTTTACGGAGTTTACGTTGTAAAATACAGTTGTCTTCCAGAAAACTAAAATACAAAACAACTTGGTACTAGAACATGGTAGTTAATTATTTACAAACTTGAAGACCAGATTTTAAAATTGAAGATTGTGCCATTTTTTTTTCTTAGATCTTGAAATCGTTCATTATGTTGAAAGTGTTTTCTCCTGCATAAACTACTGATACAAAGTTTTCTCACTAAACAATTTGTTCAGGCTAGGTCACAACATAAATTGGCTTTATAAGCTTGAATATATATTACACACATTTGAAAAGTACATGTTAATATTTATTCTCAACATTCAGAACTCTATAGGCAGTGGTTTCCATTAAGTTTTCTCTGGCAATTGTTTCTTTAAAGTCCTCCTCTTGTTCTCCATGCTTCCCCTTTCCCTTGAAAGGAATGGTACCCCTTCCCCCTCTCTGCTTCAGAAAGACTTTGAAACTATAAGGAAAATGATGTATTAAGGAAAACTCAAATTGATAGGTTCCAAATTAAATCTCTACTATCTTGGACTAATTTTCGGTGAAAATAGCTCATAAATGACATTCTTTCATGCAAAATAATGTATTTTAATAATTGAGTAAATTTTCCATTTTACCCCATTAGATACACCTTAACTTCTGCATAATATGGCGATGAATCTGGTGATCATTTGGAAAGGAAGAAGTTATTCCTTAGATGAGCTTGTGTTTTGAAGACTATTATGAAAAGGAATAGAAAGTCAACATAGTGGCACTTCTGGTTTCCATTTTGGCCCCGCCACAGAAAACATGGGTGTAGTAAGAAAGTCAGGGGGGCAGGGAGAGAAAGTTCCAGGGAGAGGGAAGGGGAGCTAGTAGTCGTCAGCTAAAAAAGAGAAGAAGAAGAGTGATTTTTTTTTAAAGGAAAAAAATTTAAATAGAATAAAAGTTCTAGATTAAGTGATTAATTCTTACTTTCAATTGTAAGAATACAGGTACTAGCTGCAGAGCCTTTGTTGTTGACTGCTTTACACATATACTCTCCTTCATCTTCTGGGAAAGTTTCTGGTAAATAAAGGCAGTAAGTTTCTCCTCTTTCAATATATTGGTAGTCTTCTCCATCCTGCAGTATTTCTCCTTCAAACCACCATGTAATTTCCGGTTTGGGTTCTCCTGTTACTTTAACAGTAAATCTAACTGGCTCACTGTCTACAACCGATGTGTTTTTTAGAGGCTTCTTGAACCACGGAGCTCCTGATCTCGTTTGCTCGTCATCTTCAATAGTGGAGCCATTCACGATGCTACCACCCTCTTCTTCCTCCTCCTCTTCTCTTTTCTATATTAAATATAAATAAGCACATTCAAGTTGGTGTTTAAAGTAGCATTTTCAGGACAACGGTTTAGCAAAAGAATTTCCTGAGTGAATGGGTTTTTGCTTCCCAAAGAACATGTAAATATGCCTACTACAATGTGTACTTTATAAAACATTACACTGACCTGAAAGCTATTAAAAAATTATTTTTAATCCCTCAGTGTTTTAAGAGCATATCTGAAAAATAGAGTATGTAAGCCTGCTACCTTTTGTAGTGCTGCATCAATTTCCTTTTGTTCAAACTGCATCCGTAGTAACTTTTGCTCTTCAATTCTTCTTTGTTCTTCTTCTTCTCTTGCCTTAGCCATTTGTTCAAATCTAGCTTTCATGTTCACTTTATGAGTAAATGGGGCCTCACTTTTTTTTGCAGGCTTGACATCAACATCTTCTTCCTTTATGAAAATGGGCCAAGAATAAGAATTACTTGTTTTCTAGAAACCAACAAGAACTAAAGCATTAATAGTTATGAAGTTGTTATTTATAGGCACAAAATAATGACGCATGTTTGGTTTACATATTTGTGCTATACTCAGATGTGGGGATTTTCACTATCCCTTAATTTGTGAAAAATGGAAGTTTTATTTGAATAACAGTCTCCTGACAATTAGAACCCTTTTCTCCCAGTGTAAAGGTATATCACTGGAGTCCCAGTGTATTTATTTGCTTAACCAACTCTGTGCTGGCTGATAGTACTAACAGAAAAGGGTGGGGATGTTACACATTTTAACAACTATTAAAATACTCCCTTGTCACAAGATTGTCCATCACTCTTCACCCTCCTATGTAATACAGAAAAAATGCAATTTCTGTTACTTCCCACTTCATGATTTCCTTCCTCACCCTTCTTCGCTAATAACTGTCTTTGAGATGAATTTCACCCAACAAAATATATTGATGGTCAAATGGCATATGAGTGTTTGCAGGTAGAGTAAGTGGAAAGACAACTGCAAGAGGCATTGGCTGGAAGTTGGGGAAATCACTGAGTTGAAGTAGGTGGTTAGTCATCTACTTAGGGTAAGAGTTGGAAACCATGGAAATAAGCAATAATCTAAGTGCAGAGTTTAAACTATTAAAACAACGAGTCTGTAAAACAATTTGGTGATAATGAGGTCACTGGTGGCTTTTGAGGGAGGTTTTAGTAGAACGGGTTATAGGTACAGTTGATTCAGGGTTTCTAAAGTACCTTAGGTATAGTTTCTAAACTAAGACTTTAAATGGATCTGTCTGCAAGTCTCACCATTTATATTTCACAGTACTAAGAAATTGCTTCAGGATACCACATCCAACTGAAGGAAATTCTGAAACAAGCTCTAAAATAATTGCCTATGTAAGAAAAATAGGTGCATGCATGTTTTGCATCAGTTTCTTCATTGTGTCTTCTAACAGTCTCTGAAGGCCTGCCCAATTTCTCACACCTGCTTTATTAGTTGATTATTTGATGAAAATTCATTGCTAGAAGAACATAAGTTAAATGCTGTTAAGTATTATAAAATGGCAATTCTGGCAGAAAAAATTCTCCAGATCATATTTAAAGCAATATTCATAACTAGACCTTAGGTTGGAAGGAACATTATGGGTCATCTAGTAATTGCCTTTTTAATATTTGGAGGTACTTCAAATTCATGTCCTCTGAATTCTAATTTAGGCTCTGTCACTGAATTATTGGCATGACTTTGAGCAGATCATTAAGCTTTACTGGCGTCATCCTTAAGTATGAATAATCTCTGGAGTTTATTTTAACCCATATGTACACTGGTTCTAATGATTCAAACTAAAATTTGTGCCATAAATATATTTTTTGAAGACTTTATTTATTGTCAACACAAGCAGGGGGAGCAGCCAGGGAGAGAGAAACAGGCTCCCCACTTGAGCAGGAAGCCTGATGTGGGACTCAATCCCAGGACCCTGGGATCATGACCTGAGCTTAAGGCAGGTGCTTAACCAACTGAGCCACCCAGGCGTCCTGTGCCATAAATATTTTTAAACTATTTTTTCCAGAGTGATGTTCACGATAGGCTATTTAATTCTAATAAAAGCCATTTTTGAAACAATGCTAGACTGAGGCAACCTTTCAAAGTCTCTTAAGATCTTAATGTGCTTTTGCTATTTAGTTCCCGGGTTGTTATTTATACCTATGATTAAGTACCATATTTCAAAGTCAATGTTACATTTCTAAGCATCATAATTAAACACAGTATACCTCATGAAAGTTTTCTGCTTCTCGCTCTTTAATTTCAAGGTCAATTGCTCTCCTCCTTGCTCGTTCTTCTTCTATTTTTTTCTGTATTTCTTTTTCAGACAATTGTCCAATCTTTTCAAACTTGCTTTTTAGATTTTTGGCTTGAATAGAGCCACTTCTTTTCAATTTGATTAATTCTTCATATTCCCTACTCAATTCGAAGGTTTCATGTTCTTCCTCTTCCTTCAAAAAAAATTTTTATATATTAAATACTAGAAAATTAGTTTGTACAAGAAACCATCCAAAAGGTGTTCATTTCTTACTTGAAGCCAAAAATAAAGCTTAAATAACCTGTTTCCTAAATACAGTTACTAAATTTACTGATTAAAAGTAATGCTACAAATTTAAGACTTTAGGTAACATCTTATTTAAAATATTTCATTATGGGATATGGCTCAAAACTTCATTTAATATTTCATTATAACCTCCTAAAACTAAAATATGCATATCAAGATTATGGGGCGCCTGGGTGGCTCAGTCGTTAAGCGTCTGCCTTCGGCTCAGGTCATGATCCCAGGGTCCTGGGACTGAGCCCCGCATCAGGCTCCCTGCTCAGCAGAAGGCTGCTGCTTTTCCCGCTCCCCCTGCTTGTGTTCCTCTCGCTGTGTCTCTCTCTGTCAAATAAATAAAATCTTTACACATACTAGGAACCATAGGAAAATCCATGTTTAGGGGAAGATGAACTATAATTGTAAGAACAGTGGGCTGGGAGTCAGATACAAGTTCTAGTTCTGACTTTGATACCGTGTGGCCTTTTGCCTTGTCACTTAGCCCCCTGGACATGATTTTTTTATCTCTATATAGAGCCAGAGTATCCTAAAGTTCCTCCTGTCTTTGTTTTGATGATAGTCTAATAAATACCACTTTTTTTTTTTCAAGATTTTATTTATTTGACAGAGACACAGCAAGAGAGGGAATACAAGCAGGGGGGAGTGGGAGAGGGAGAAGCAGGCTTCCCGCCAAGCAGCAAGCCCTATGTGGGGCTCCATCCCAGGATCCCGGGATCATGACCTGAGCCGAAGGCAGATGCCCAATGACTGAGCCACCCAGGTGCCCCTGATTATCACTCTTAATACTCAAGTTAACTGAATGAACTCTTTCTACAATACAGCCTGGCAAAATCCCTACATTTGATATGTATCACTTCTAGTCTCAATTTTATATCCTGCCAAGAAAGAGAAGAGTCCACCAAAATTGGGCTCCAATTCTTTAAACCATTTTATCTTACATACTTTTTATTCTGGTTTCCCTTGGCTTTTCACAGTTTATTACTAGTTCTTTGTATACTTCTTACACTAAACCCTAATCTCACTATATGAAATGTTAAAAAAAAAATGCAGTTATTCCTGGTATACTTTTCCTGGAGAAGACCTAGATTCTAGGTGTGGGGAGGGGTTAGTGGGGAAGGGGGGGAATGAAGGTGCGGAGGGGTGGGGTCACAGTGGACAATACAACATGAGGGTTAATTTCTTGGTTCAACCAAAGGGGAAAAAAGAGAACTTATTTATACTACCTTCACTTTTTAGTCTATGTGGGTGAAAACAGACAACTCCTAAAATAACAGAAACCTAACAAGTTTGTTATGTACCTTCTATCATTGGTTCCCAAATCATTCTGGTCAAAATTAATGATTGAACTAATTTACAAGTTTTCCTAGGCAATTCATTTTCATCATCCTTTATAAAATAAATGCTATTACATTTTTAAAATAAGGCTAGACCTTGGAATATTTTCCTACAGCATATTCATGATATTACTACCTATATATTTATATAGTATTCACAGTCTCTCAATTGTCTGGGGCAAGGAAGTAAATATCCCCACAGGTCCACTGCCCCAGCCCATGACAAAAGAGACAACTTCTACGAGATTGCAACCTCTGCATAGGATCCCATTCGGTTCCTAGATCAGGAGTTGGCAAAAAGTCCCCACCAAGTTGCCTGCCAAACATGCCACATCACTGCCAGTTAGAGTCTGGGACAACAACTGCTCGTTTCACCCCAAGTCACCGGGCTGTGTGCTGATCCCTGACCCTGTTCATGTTGCTGCCAAGAGCTACTACCCCCCGTCAGAGGTCGAGGGTGACAGTGGAATGCTGGCCCCCTTTTTCTATCTCCCCTCTTCTGCTTACACAACTGGCCATCGAGATGGAGGGTGGCAGCTGTGGGAAAGAACCCTTTAGAAAGGGCCTTGGGGCATCAGGAGATAGGAAAAGAGCTAAGAATGCACCATGGAGAGGCAGGGGACAGGAGATTTGAGCCACGGCTCAAAGTCTAGCACATGCTCCATTGTCCAAGCAGCCTTCACTTAAAACACACAAATTCAAAGATAAGATGATGGTGTTAATTAAATTTTAAGTTTTAAATTTTACTTTAATTAAATTTTTAAATTAAAAATCAAGATGGCAACCTTAGAACATTAAACCTTATGCACAACCTATCTGAGCACAGGGTCCTGTGAGGGCCCAGGTTGCATGCCCATGAAGCTGACCCTGTACAGTCTATATTTATGTAGATATATATTTATGTATTTATTTAATTCACTTCAATACTAGAGAAATCATACTGAAATATTTATCATGACAGTTCTGTCTTCTAATTTAGTAAAATAAAATGATTCAAAGACTTGCCAAACTGATATTGTTCTATTGGTATCCATGGTACTCTTGTAATTTTATTTTGACTAATCAGTTTATTTCAAGGAAAATAAATATAAAACATGGGCATAGTAATAAGCACTTTAGGAAACAATTCTCCATCATAATATAACCACATAATTGTGAGGTATATAGGAAGAAATATTTACTTAAGGTACTATAGTAGTATGTTAGTCACTTGCAATCATATATGTTTTAACCTAGTAAGAAAGAAGCAGAGTTATAGCAGGCTAGAAAGTGCTCATAACTATGCCAAAACTTGTACCAAGTGCCTCATGGTATGCTGGGTGTCCTTTATGTGAATAATAATACTTAAAAAGTTATTGTAAGATACTACATGTAAAATACTTATATTAATAAATATTTGGAGAATATAAATGGTATTTCTTAAAATCTCACCTCTCCCATTTCTTGTCTCAGTTGTTCAAATTCCTGTTTTTCCATCTCTAGCTTATGCTTCCTTTCCTCCTCTGTTCGTCGTTTTTCTTCTTCCATTTTTTGTTTTAGTAATTCTTCAAAATTAATTTCCAGTTTTCCCGGTGTAAGAGATTCTTGAGAAATTGTTTTATACATCTCTGGGAAGTCATCATCTACTACCTATTCAAAATGATTCTTTCATTATTTTTGCCAAAATTACACAAACTTTAAAAAAAAATTTTTTTTGTAGAAACTGTGATCACTTGAATAGAAAGGTTTCACACTGAACTAAAAATTTGGAGACCTAAATCTCTTCAAAAGTATAAAACAATAAACAAGGGAGAAATTACTAGAAAATATAAGACTAAGGTATTTTGTGGTTACAGAGGAAATGGTGACCATCTGTTTTCTGCTCCAATGAACACAAAGAAATCCTTTGAATTTGTATTATGAGTAATTTGAATTAGATATTAAGATTTTCTGATACTGAGAACACTTTGAATTGAATTAAAATGAATTTCCATTCTGCTAATTAAAATAGAGCATTTCCATTAAATCATGGTTTTGTCTGAATGAATTAGATAACCCATGATTCTTTCATAATCAGATAAAAATCATTCTTAATGCTGTAATTTTTTTGTACTAATTTATTTACTGTCTGGTTAATTAAATAATAATAATACTTAGAGCTGCCATGTAAATTCTAAGCACTTTACATTGATTTATTTAATCCTGTAATCCTATGAAGTAGATATTATTAATATCCTCCATTATAGATGAGAAACTCAGGTACTAACTTTTCCAGAGTGAACACAAATATTAAGTGGCAAAGGTGGGATTCAAACCTTCAAAAACCTAATAAAAATTATAAATAATGATTTAGACTATCTTTTTGTAATTTCATGAATTACATGTCTAACTGCCATTAAGTTGTGACCTTGGGCAAGTTACCCAGCCTCTGTGAGTTTCCCTATCTGTAACAACTTTTCATACAGTTGTCATGACAAAGTTTGGAAACACTTATAGTGTGTAGGATACCCAATAGTAAGCTCCCAATGGCAGTTTTTTTTTTTTAAGATTTTATTTATTTGTGAGAGAGCGAGCAAGCATGAGCAGGGAGGAGGGGCAGAGGGAGAAACAGGCTCCCTGCTGAACAGGGAGCCCCATGTGGGACTTGATCCCAGTACCCTGAGATCATGACCCGAGCTGAGCCGAAGGCAGTAGCTTAACCAACGAACTGAGCCACCCAGGAGTCCACCCCCCCCCACAATGGCAGTTATTATTATTATATTATCATTCCCTGTAATAAAGGCAATCCCTAAATTGCAAATAGAAACTTTGCTTTTAAATCACTGACTTGGAATACATTTTACCATGAAGAGCAATTACCTAATTCTGTTTTTCTATCCCCTGAAAGTAGAAAATAAACCTCTGGCCTGAATTACGACCCTGTGGCCAAAGAAGACATAGGGTAATAAGAAGGCAAAGGGTAATTATTTGTTTTATATATGACAGGCTTTACCAAAGAATAAACTCAACTCAGAAACAATGTTTACATGGTTTTACAATCCAAAGATTACCAAAAATTTTTATTAATATATGAGCTGAGCTATAATACAAAATTAAAATATGGCCCTGGATAAAAAAAAAAAAAACAACATAAATGAAGGAAAAATTTTATCTTTCCTGATACAGAAATACCTCTAGGAAACTAGAGTTTTGGTTTAATGCAGTTTTCCTTCCTACACTTTTTCTAATAGTGAATCATGGCAGTTTCAGCCTAAAAATCTGCCCCTGGCATTAGATCTCCTGATCTTCACAGCTACTACTTGTCTATCACTCTGAACCTGCTTATTCTCCAAAAATTAAGTGCCTTCACAATGTTTATGGGGTTTCTGCATAGAAATCATTTGTGAATCAAGGATTACCTAGTTTTACACACAAGATAGTTTTAAGGAGCACCTGGCTGGCTCAGTCAGTAGAGATGCAACTCTTGATCGTGGGGTTGTCAGTTCAAGCCCCATGTCAGGGGTAGCGTTTACTGAGCAAGTAAATAAGTTAAAAAGATAGTTTTAATATACTCCACAAACATTTATAGGAAATTTGTTATGCTAGAATGCTTTGTGCCATGTGCCTGATGAACAGTCTAAACCTCATGAGTGAGAACGACAGCTGTAAGCAACAACAATACAACATTAGTGCTATGCCAGGGGAGTACAAAATCCACAAGAATGCACAGAAAGAACACGTCTTTGGAACTTGTGTTCTCAGGAAAGGCTTCCCAGAGGAAATGGAAAATATGAACAGGAGACAGCAGAGCATGGGGAAAGGAAAGAGGGGCATGTTTCATTCAGCATTTATGAAGGTCCAGAGATGGATAAGAGTGCAGTATTTTGAAGAAATTGGGAGAAATTTAGTATGTCCAGAACAAAGATGGCAGATTAAGAAGAATGAAGAAATGAAACTGGAAAAATATACTAGGACAATATTATAAAGAAATAGTTTTAAAAATTTTTTAGATTTAAAAAATTTTTAGATTTTTGCTTAAGGGAAGTGGAAAATTCTTAAGCAAAATAGTAACACAAATTTACCTGAAAGAAAGAGAAGGAGAAGAGAGTGAGAAAGATCACTCTTGTCTTTACAAAGAAGAATGATTATAGACAAGAAAGCAAATTAAATAGGAGTTGGTTTGAGGCTAGAGATAACTGTGACCTGGGAGGAGATAGGTGACCCAAGGAAGGGATAACAATAGCAGTGGAAATGAGGGAAAAACTGATCGATTTTTAGAGTGATTTAGAAGGTAGAATGAATGAAACTTAGTGAATGACTGGATGTGAGGTATGAATGAGAAGGTGGAAGTCTTTAAGACTCCCAACTTTCTGATTTGAGCATCTGGATGGGTAATGAAGCCAAATAAACACGTGGATATATGTGCCTGAAGCTCCCCCAGACATAGGAAGAAAACCAGGTCATGATATCACTGAAGCCAATTAAAATGTTTCAAGAAGAGGGGGAGCACCTGGCTGCCTCAATCAGTAGAGCCTGCAACTCTTGATCTTCGGGTTGAGTTCAAGCCTCATGTTGGGCGTGGAGCCTACTTTTTATGTTTCAAGAAGGAGATGCAGCATTTATAGGTCAGCTTGCTTGAAAATAGTTTGTGAGATAACTATATTTTACAAACATTAAAAAGTGGTATAGGGGGTGTAACTTTGTGATGGAATTAAGTTTGGTAGCAATATCCAGAAGTGATAGGTGAGCATTTTGGAGAATTAAATAATTGTGATTAAATGGCTTTGGTCATTTAATATGTACTGGATGGGATGGAAGGTGAAATGAAAGAAGGAAAGAAAGGAGGGAGGGAAGAAGTGAAGGAGGAAATGTGGGAAGGGAAAGAAGAATGGAGAGAATGGAAGGAAAGGTAGAGTAGGAAACTCTCTGCTTAGATACTTCTGGAAAACATACCTTCCCAGAGAAGGAAGATAATACTCAATCCTTTAAGCCAGGCATAGCAACTTAATCAGAACCTTCTCAACATTACACTGAAGCAAACACCTTTAACTGATAGGTGTTAATGCCATAGGAGACTTTAAAGCTTATTTGCTATCCCTACTTTTGAAAGATTCCAGAAATAATATCTAAAGTTTAATTATTTTTCTTAACATACTCTATTTTATTTATTTTTTTTAATTAAAAAAAAGTTTAAGGTCTATTTGAGAGACAGTGAGTGTGTACCTGAGTACAGGGGGAAGGAGCAGAGGGAGAGAGTCTCAAGCACTCTGTGCTGAGCGTGGAGCCTGACACAGGCTCGATTTCAAGACCCCGAGATCACAACCTGAGCCAAAACCAAGAGTTGAATGCTTAATTGACTGCACCACCCAGGCACCCCAAATTTAAAAAAATTTTAAAGTAATCGCTATACCCAACATGGGGCTCAAACTCACAACCCCAAGACTTGCTCCAATACTGACTGAGCCAGTCAGGCACCCCCTCTTAACACACTTAAAAAAGCTGAATCCTAATGGCATTCTCCAGTTACATTCTATCTTACCATGCTTCTCCTTGCTTCAGCAAATGCCTTCTTTTCTTCCTCTATTCTCCTCCTGGCTTCTTCTTCTGCTTTCCTTTTTTCATCTTCTCTCCTTTGTCTTTCTATTTCTTCAAAACTGAGTTTGAGTTTACCAGGGCGGTACCCTTTTAAAATTTTTTCTGTGTCTTGGTTTTCCTCCTCTTCATTTACCTAACCAAGAAACAACTCATTACTAAGAACTGAGATTCATCAAGGGCAGGAATGAATTATCAATCAAAAGGCACAGAACTGGCCACCTCACACACAAATATTTTCTTGCCCTTAATATATTTGACCAAATTTCCCTTCCTTTATAATTTCTTAGCTGATAAAGTATTTAAATTTGGAGAAATTCCAAATAAAGATGTACTCAAGTTAAATAACAGTTCCCATGAAAGTCAAATTTTTAAATAGATAAATTGAGTGTTTGAAAGAATTTAAGGGGTCATTTAAGAGTTCTAATAAATATTAACTCTCCCAGAACAAAACATAAAATGTGTGTGTGTGTACTTACTATGCTTCAAGTATATCTATAGAGAGTCTCTATTGTAGTAAAATAAAATTCTCATTTTGTAATTTTCATGGATATTTTACTATGAACTATGGTACTTTTCCTAATCAGATAAAAGATTACCTGGAACTATTTTTTATAAAATTCAAATTTTATGATTTTATAATTAAAATTATAATTAAATATTTATTGAAATTTATGATTTGATTATTTCTATTTTCATGAAATTGATCACCACTGGTAGCTAAAGTGTGTACATATTATGCAATTATAATTACCCAGAAGTAATAACATTTTCAAATGTCTAGAGAATTTAACTTTTGTAGATACAGTCCTTAGAACATCATTAATGAAAGTTGATCAAGAAATTCTGAAACTTTTAAAAAATTATAGATATTCCATTAAAATTCAAAAAATTTTTACAATGAGATTTGGAATCAGTATTTTCTTATTTCAATTTTATTTTTTATTGATATAGTTAATAATAGTTAACATTTTACAGCACTTATTATATGCCAGACATTAACTGCTTTCTGTATTAACTCACGTACAATTTAAGAAGTAGACACAATTATTTTCACCATTTTACAAATAAGAAAACTAAGACATAGAGGGGTTAAATAACTTGTCCCTGGTTACACACTAAATAAACAATAGATACGTGAATCCAGGCAGTGTGGTTCCAGAAACTATACTCTTAACCACTACACTCCATACCTCTAGACACACACACACACACACACACACACACACATCTACATACCTTATATAACAAACTGCATATTCCATAGTAAACTTATTTTGATAAGTTCAAATATTTGAAAAACTGGACTAAAACTAAGTGTACACTTATGATTAGACTTGAAAGTGTGCATGTGCTGCACCCTGTCATTAAATACACTGCAGGCTGAACTAACAAAGAGAAACCAGGTTCATTGACTATTATTATAATTTATAACATAAAAATAAAAATTAAAGCATATTAGGTAAAATGTCCCATCATAAAGGGAAACTAGAAAATAATACAGATGCATTTTATATAGGAAATATGTATAGTTTCAAAATCAGACCCTTTTATATAGACAATCTCCTTGAATTTATAGGAATGAGTTTTATTTAAAGCCAGCTTCCTTCCCTAAGTTTTTTATATATAACATTCATAGGACATACATAAAATATAATTTGTAGGTTATATATCATTATATATTATATATAATATCATTATATATAAATACATATATTATAGGGGCATCTGCTGGCTCACTTGGTAGAGCGTACAACTCCTGGTTCGAGCCCCATGTTGAGTGTAGAGATTACTTAAAAATAAAATCTTTAAATATATATATATATTTTAAAATACGTTTTATATATATATTTGTTTTACCATTTGCCGCCTTGCTTCTTCAAAAGCACGCTTCTCTTCTTCTAAACGTTGTCTTGCTTCCTCTTCAGCTTGCCTCCTTCGGTTTTCTTGTCTTTGTCTTTCCAATTCTTCAAAAGTTAGTTTCAGTTTTCCAGGAGAAAGGGATTCTTTTTTTGCCTCGCTTTCTAGTTCATCATCCTAAGAAACATTGTGCAAACACATCTGTTAATCATAAAAGGAAATGCTGGTAACTTAACTGCTTTGATTTGTACCTAAAAAAAATAAAAATAAAAATTACCACAACCAATGAAAGACACTTTGCTTCCTTGAGAGATCGCTGTTGTTCTTCATATCTTATTCTTTTATCTTCTTCATATTTGACCCTTTCTTTTTCTTCTCGTTCTTTCTCTAGATCCTCAAAATTCTTCATCTTTCCAGAAGTTTTTTGTGATTTGACAGGTACCACTGTTACAAGCAGTGATTCGTCTCCTTCCTAATTTATAAAATAGAAAATTAGCATATTTCTTGCTAACCAAAATTTAGGTTTCATGGGATTTTGCCTCCATTATTGGTGAGTTTTATTACATTGCCATCAATGTTACGAAGAACAAAAATTTATATATATTTTTTACAGATTTCTATTCAATAGTTGTTTCTCTGAATTCATTGTACATTGAGTTAATTTAACTGAAATCCATTGTTGACAAGGTTCAAGGAGCATCTTCTTTCCTAGAAGGTGGTGTTAATACAGCTGTTTGGATAAAACCGCATGACATCATCTGAATTTAGCTGTCCGTGCACTACTAGTTCCACAGAAGGCGGTGGGCATGTGAGTGTACTCTAAATCAATTTGATGGTGGGTAGATTCCGTTTAAACACACACAAAAAGTCTCCACAGGACTTTTTGCTCCATGCAAGTTTTTAACTACTTAACAAAACTATTATTTAGTGAGGAAAAACAAACAGTATTTCCAAGTTATTTATAAAACACTTATAGAACAATACTCATTGGCATTTGGTCCTAGTAAAATATTCTTAAATTTGTTGTTTTTCAAATTCATTTTAATTAATTCTATTAATCTATTGTTACCTCTGAACTTTTTTCAAAAATAAATTATAATATGTAACGCATGTCCCTAAAATAAAACTGCTTCCAATTTATGTGGCTGTAGTTTTAGGCACACCATCAAATTGACGCTTAACCTTCTCTGTTAGGTAAAAAGGAATTAGCTAAAGTTTTTGTGGTTGTTGAACATTCCTTCATGGTACTAGATACTGTACTTTCTACTAGTATGTGATAAAACAAACTATCAAGAACTCCGAGGAAAGAGGAAGACAAATGATGGGGAAAAACCCTGCTTTCAAAAAATGTTAGCTTTAAACAATCTCGACCATTAGTAACAGTTCAAGAAATACATAGTCTTGGCAGAGTATCTCAATCTGAGACTTGTGTCTTTAACCATGAAAGCAAAAACATACTTTTTTTTTCATACTTTTAAGACACTAAGCTAGTGTTTGAAAGTGCAAAAGTATGATCTTGCTTTGCAAAATACTTTTGTCCTTTTTGTTGTTGTTGCTATAATTATAATGAAAATAAAAATGCTTTTCATTTTTTAATTAAAAGATTATTTGTGAACCAGATAATTTTAGGTGATGTTTCATTAAAGGAAATGTCCATTTACCTCTGATGCTGATTCAGTTCCCGTATTGTTTATGTCCTCAATCTATTGAATGAGAATTTCATATCATTACATTACATTGAATTTCTGCTTTCTGCTTTTAAATATACAACTGAAAGTAATTTAGCTGTGACTTATGGTAAATTTTCAAATTTATAATTTTTGAAATATTTTTATGTTTCTCCAAATTGGCCTATTATGTCCATTTAAGTGGAGATTAAACCTTATATTAGTTTTTGTATTTTGACATCAAAATCAGTATCTAGGGAATATATTAAGAAAAAATTAAAATAAAGCCTACCTTTGTAATTCTGGAATTTGAATAATGGACCAAATTCTTATGACCTGCTGTAGGCTTACAAGTAGCAATTATTAATTAAATTAGCAATTTAAACTGAGATACAGAAACATTTCTCCATTCTCGGTCTCTGCCCCAGCCAAAGTAAAACCTATCAGTAGTAATCAAATAATCATGACTATATTTTGCAATATAAATATATGGCAAAAATATAACTGACACAGTAATACAGTGCAGTGCACTAGCTTTCACATGGCTGGTTTAGAAGGGACAGGAATTCTGGTCGATATAATTGTTTACTCTCTATTTTGACCACATCTAGGAAAGAAAGGCCCTCATTCAATGGAAGGGGTCTCAACTTGGACATTATTCATAAGAAACACCATTAGGGTAGCTCGAGGGGCAGGCTAATGTATGTAAGAGAAACGGGAAAGAAGCTAGGCAATTTAAATAATGCAATGTTTGAGATCTCAGGAAAAGGAAACATAAGCAGTGGGAAAATGGGAGAAGTTAGAAAGTAAACATTCATATTGTTTATTGTTTTAACATGATTTTTAACATCAGTGAAAGAGTCTGGAAGTAGTTTGTTCCTTATGCAGTCTAAGGGAATTCTGTTGTACCTTGGCTCATAGGAGGAACTGGACTGGCTAAGTCCCTGTTCTTCATTATTTCACTTTCCTTTTCTATATTCTCTGTCACGGGAGAATTAATACATTTTATTAATATACCAAATTTCTTGAAAAATAAATTCTGAATAATTTATTAAAAATAAATCTATTTTACATTTTAATAATTTTATTGTTTTGTTTAGAATGATTTCTTTTGCACAATTGTATATTACACTGATTTGCTATGTAAGTGAAGGTTTTACTAAATGATGTATTGTACTAAGAAAAATTTTAAGCCATAATAAAATAATTACAAAATTATTTCTTTTCAGGGGTACCTGCTGGTTCTGTTGGAAGAGCATGCAACACCTGATCTCAGGGTCATGAGTTCAAGCCCCACACTGGGTGTAGAGATTACTTTAAATAAATAAATAAACTTAAAAAAAAAAGTATTTCCCTTCCAAAGAATGCTAACAATTCCTTGACAAATCAATAAAAAGTTCTAGGAGATACAGTGAGAAGCCAGACACAGAGTATAGGAAAGATAAATTCTAAATTTCTTAACTCTAAATTTCTTTTACTTGCTACTAAAACCTCAGATTTTTATTAGCTTATGATAAGATAATAAATTATATTATGGAGTGGCTTTTGTTTTGTTGTTGTATGCTTTCTTCTTTGCTCATTTTAAGCCATAGTCAAAACTTTAACAGAAGACATAATTTTATTTTCATTGGGTTTCCATAAACAAAGGAAAAAGTGAATTTGTCTGAGTGGCCATGGTGTCAGTATATTCACAGAGAACTGAGACATTCAGTTCTGTTATAGTGTCGGCTCTCAGAAGCTACCACTGAAAAGCTGCTTCCCAACTATTTCTTTTGATTATGAAAAGGAAATTCCTTTTACTCCTTCCCAGAGGAACTTCCTTTTGTCCCCTTTATTTTCAACATCCCAGTCCCCTACCAATAAATTCTTATTTTCTAAGTTGATAGATGTTAACCTTGCCTGTCAGAGTATCCTCAAAGATAACCAGATTCTCCCCCAAGTTTTATTGGTCTTTGATTCTAACATCCAGTATACGAAGTATACCAATTTTTAATTCATCATAAGATGATCTAGAATCTGGTAGTTATCCTCCTGAGTCAGGAATCCCTTCTCAAGCATTCTTAAATATGGACTTGTACAAGTGGGTTTTTCAAATTAACGTTAAGACTTTATTTTTCTTAGTAAACTCCACCCCCAATGTGGAGCTCAAACCGACGACCCCAAAATCAAGTCACATGCTCCATCCACCAATTGAGCCACCCAGGAGCCCCAACATTAAGACTTTTCTTGATTACCTATGTCATACTTCTTAAATTCAAAGATAGATTCAATTTTATTAGACTTGAGCAGAAAATGTACTTAAATTTTAAAATTGGACTTTCCATATTTGTAAGATAAAATTACTATTAATAGTTTATTTTGCTCTACCTACATATTCTCAAATAATGTAATAAGCCAAAAGTTTCATTAACCAGGACTCTAAGGCACCCTGCCATGTAGTTTCTAGAGTTACTAAAGAAGTGCTTTTTGTTTTTTTTTTCTTGATACCTTGTCTCCCTCTCTTAGTATCCCATGTCTTCATCATATTTAAACTCACCTCTTCAACACACATAGTTTTTCTTTGAGAAATCACTGCCTATGTATTCAGTTCTTGATGTTGTTAGTGGGTCTTAAAGTCTCATGAGTCTAGTTAGTGCTTTTTGAAAAACTATATAAGACTCAAAATAAGTAGACTAACCCCATGCACATACCCACTATTTGTTGTCAAATCCTTATATTTTAATTATATATTTTAGTCTGATTTTATTACCCTATTTTATAATTTATATTAAAAATGTAATTACATATGCTAATATATTTTATATTTACAACATAAAATCTGTAATATTTATTATATTTGTACTCCTGGGTGAAATTTCATTGCAAAATGAATTCTCGGGCACCTAGGTGGCTCAGTCGTTAAACGTCAGCCTTCGGCTCAGGTCATGATCCCAGGATCCTGGGATTGAGCCCCGCATCGGGCTCCCTGCTCAGCCAGGAGCCTGCTTCTCCCTCTCCCACTCGCCCTGTTTGTGTTCCCTCTCTGGCTCTCTAGTGTCTCTCTCTCTGTGTCAAATAAATAAATAAAATCTTCAAAAAAAAATGAATTATCATCTTGGATGACTGGAGAAGGCAGAGATAAAGTACCTGTCATCCTTTCTTTAGATAAAGAGGTACAAAGTGATAAAATATAAGAAATGCCAATTCTTTTCTATAATTCATCTGGCATATGTCATAAGTGGCTGTTTGTGCCACAGAAAGTTATTTGCAAAATCCGGGTAAATTTCTTTGACATTTAAGTATGGCATATGCTTTGCCTTCTTTGTTATTTTTCTTTTCAGAAAGGTAGGAAACTGGAAGGAGCATAGCAAGTAGATTTATGGCACTTAAAGAGTAGGCAAAAAAGAGCCAAGTACAATTTCACAATAAAAATGGTTTTATACCGTGAAGATTATGTTAATTTGTTAATGATGAGAGATGGAGGAGAAGCTAAAATGGTTTCATGACATTTTATCTATATGTACTAAATAAAATCTTTAAAAAATAAATAAAATATTTTACTTATTTGACAGAGAGAGAGCGAGCACAAGCAGGGGGAGTGGCAGGCAGAGGGAGAAGCAGGCTCCCCACACAGCAGGAAGCCAGATGGGGGGCTCAACCCCAGGACCCCGGGATCATGATCCAAGCTGAAGGCAGACACTTAACTGACTAAGCCACCCGAGCACCCCCAGATTCTTGGGTATTTTAAAAATGCTTACCAACCTCTTACTTCTCATGCTTTAAGCTAAAATATATAGAAATTCTAAATCCATTAAAGAGACTATATAAAATCATAGTAATAATTTTTTTCTCCCTTCTAATTTGTCCCCTGTAGCTATGGGCATCAATAATGGCTATCTGAAGCAAATAGCTGTCACATATTTCTCCCCTCTCCTACCACCAACTTAAAAAACAAAAAAAGCTGGGATGCCTGGGTGGCTCAGTCGTTAAGCATCTGCCTTCTGCTTAGGTCATGATCCCAGGGTCCTGGGATTGAGCCCCACATCGGGCTCCTTGCTCCGCAGAGAGCCTGCTTCTCCCTCTGCCCTGCGGCTCCCCCAGTTTATGCGCTCTCTCTCTCTCTGACAGATAAATAAAATCTTAAAAAACAAAAAAGTTAATAAGCTAGCTGATAATAACATTATTAAATGTGATTTGTTTCAAATTCTTGAGTGGGAAGGTATCCTAATTATGCCTTAATGTGTAATAATAACCAATAACTACTTATTGATTACTATTGAAAGACAAGCACATTGTGGATAGTTTAGGTGAAACTGCCCTTATGTCTTTGTAAAAACCTCTAACATGTCAGGAAAAACAAGAAATGTGGTCCATGTAAGGAATATGGACTGAATGACAAGATGGTACATAACAAAAGTTATCTCAGCATTCAACCTTAAAATAAGGACATTCTGCCCTTATCCTTCTGGCATTTGATAATAAATATTTGTACTTAAGATCTTGTTTTCAGGGGCGCCTGGGTGGCTCAGTTGGTTAAGCGACTGCCTTCGGCTCAGGTCATGATCCTGGAGCCCTGGGATCGAGCCCCACGTCGGGCTCCCTGCTCAGCAGGGAGTCTGCTTCTCCCTCTGACCTCCCCTCTCTCATGTGCTCTCTCTCTCTCTCATTCTCTCTCTTTCAAATAAATAAATAAATAAATAAATCTTTTTAAAAAAAGTTCTTGTTTTAAAGTTAGCTGCTATTTAATAAGCTAATGTTATATTAAAATATTTTAATTAGGCAATGTACTAATTAGTTTTACTCTGTACAGTTTCTGAGGCAAATACCAATTTAATATTTAGTGTATACCTGCTCAGCCCTTTTTGCTAATTCACGTTCTATCTTCCTCTTCTCTAACATATCCTGCTCAATTCTGCGTCTTCGTTCCTCCTCCGTCCTCTTTCTTTGTTCCTCTTGTCTTTGTTTCTCCATTTCAGCAAATCTACCTTTAACAGTTCCTAAGAACATATGAAACATGTTTGATATTTTGCTACATTTTCCTTTTTGCAATTTCATTTACGATTTCCCTCTCAAGTTTCTTACCTGTTAGCTTTGGGACATAAGCCTTTTCTACTTTCGAAGATACCTCTTCCTCATCATCAGAAGCAAGCATTTCTTTAATCTAAATGGTTAAATAAATTAATATGAACATGTCCAAAATTTAGACTAAATTATATACAGAGTTTGAAATTAACTTATAAATACAGAAAATTATTTTAATTATTTAATCATATTTAATATAAAATATGATTAATGTGAATAATAATGTGTAAATTAAAAAGATGAAAATATGAATTTTGCACAAGAATAAAATAAAATAAAATAACCTCCTGCTTTCTCCTGTTCCATTCTCTCTCTCTAATATATTGTTCTTTTCTTCTTTGTTTTTCATCTCTAGATCTCCTTTGATTTCTTTCTTCCCTGGCTCTCTGCATGGCTTCAAACTTATCCTTTACATCACCCTTGCCAAGTTTTGGCACATAGGTTTTTGGGACAGGTTTAGATGAAGAAAGCAGAATCTTCGTTAGAAGAAAATAAAGAGAAGAAAGTTAAAAAATATAGAAGAAATCAAGTAAAGATAGATCAGAATAAGCAATATAAGAAATACTTATTGAAACAGAAAATAGAAACAAGTTTGAAACATTTGTACAATCATAATCTGATTATTTTCTAAAGTCTAAGTATGAAAAATGAAATTTAGAAAATATGAATAAAAACTTATTAATATAAAGAAGTTCCATTTTGTAGGTGTGTTCCCCTGAAACTGAAGGCTAGTAAAATATAAAAATTGAATACTGGATTCTAATTTAAAACAATATATTTTCCTACACCATTATTAAAAATTCAGATTTGACATTTCTTACTTAAAAGATACCAGGACTAATTACAATAAATTAGGTGAAAGTGAAAACAAGGCAAAAGTTTAGGCTTTCAAGTTTAAAGCCTACTTCATATATCCATGCTCTTGCTTGTTTCCCTATCAAATATGAATAAAACTGAAGGGCAGTCCTTTATTCCCATGTATGGCCGAGATGCGCCGGGGTCTTCACATACAAGCGGTGATTTAGAAGTTGACTGCTACCCAACCCATCCAGAACTTCTGTACACCAACATTAAAAATGTGTAAAAAGGCTGTATCATTCCAAGTAGGCTGACCTCTAAGACAGCAAAAGAGCTTCCCAGGAAAGGAGGAATCTAGTAAAAGACTAGAGAAAAGATTTCCCTCCACTCTAAAACCAGGAAAGCCAACTATTTTCATCATTTCGAAAATTAAGCTGATCGCTAAAAAATTTCAGTAAATAAAACGTCGGTGCCTCAGAACATCAAACCCTTTTCTCCTAGTGATAATGGCAAATTACTTATTAATCTGTGGCATACCCAGCCTCTCTTTTATTATCATCTTATGGTGTCATTGGCCATTTAAGGTTTTTTAAACTTCATAATTTTGGGATGTCAGCAACTGAACTCTTCTTACTACAACTCCCCGTATCTACAGCCAAGAGCCAGAAAAAGACAAAGAGAAGTTTTGCTGCAGCTGCTGGAAGAAATAGCTGAGAAGGAGCCTCACCTGAGAGTGAATTATTGCTTTCTCCTAAAGATATACATCAAATCTGGTTTTTTAAATACTAAAAAAAAATAACTTCTAAGACTTATCAAGGTATTACAATTCTATTCAAGGTGCTAGCCATCACATCCACTTCACCATCATTCACAAATTTAATAATTATGCTGCCAAGATTAGAATACAAATGAAAATACTGGGCCCAAGAACAGCCTGTGAATTCCAGCTTTTACATTTTCTATCCTGACACTAGGTCATTATGAACTATGGCCTTTCCACCAAGCAGCTCTACCATTTCCGCAGCTCTATAGTCAATCCTACGTTTCCCCCATTTTTTTTTTTTTTTAACGTTGGAGACTTACCTCAGCCTTTTGGGAAATATCATTCATGTCTGCTGTATGTGTTATCAGGGTGATTTTGGAGTTTTGTATATTTTTGCACCTGAAAAAACAGATTAGTATTGAGTAACAATTTTTAATGACTTAATTCTTAATATGCTATGTATTTTTGTAAACAGAAGCAGCATGTTAATTACTCCTCAAAAAATATTGACACAATCCAGGCAAGTAATAAACTGGGATAACCTTCAGCTCCTTTTCCCAAGATTTAGGGTATAGAAGGGACAAGGCACATGGTATTAAGAGATCCTTATAGGGGCATCTGGGTGGCTCAGTTGGTTGAGTGTCCAACTCTTGATTTCAGCTCAGGTCATGATCTCAGGATCGTGAGATCAAGTCTTGCAACAGGCTCCATGCTCAGCATAGAGTCTGCTTGAGTTTCTCTCTCTCTGCCCTTCCCCTTGCTCATGTGCACACTCACTCTCTCTCTCAAATAAATAAATAAATCTTAAAAAAAAAATCCTTATAAATTTATGGTCCAGAATAGCGTGGTCAATGTATCAAGAGCCCTTGCAAAGAATTTTTATTCTGGGGCGCCTGGGTGGCTCAGTAGTTAAGCATCTGCCTTCGGCTCAGGTCATGATCTCCAGGGTCCTGGGATCGAGCCCCGCAGCAGGCTCCCTGCTCGGCGGGAAGCCTACTCCTCCCTCTCCCACTCCCCCTGCCTGTATTCCCTCTCTGGCTTTGTCTCTCTGTCAAATAAATAAATAAAATCTTTTTTTAAAAAAAAGAATTTTTATTCTGCAGTTACTGGGTATATTATTCTGTAAGTATCAACTAGCTCAAGGTAGTTGATGGTGTTATTTAGATCTTCTGTGTCTTTACTAATTTTTGTGTGTGTGTGTGGCCTAGCTCTTCTAACAGTCTTCAACTATGTGGAATTGGCTATTTTTTCCTTTAATTCTGTTATTTTTTTCATGTAATTTCAAGCTCTTTTAAGCACATGTGCATTATGATATCTTCTTTTTGAACTGACTCCTTCATCAGTATGAAATTTCCTTTTGATCTCATTGTCTTGAACTTACCTGATATTAAAATAGCCACACCAACTTTCTTAAGTTTAGTCTGCATGATGTATATAATTTTCTAGCCATTTACTTTATATTGGTCCATATAACTGGACCTTGCTTTTTTGAAAAATCAATTCTGATATCTTTTAATTGCAGCATTTAGTCCATTAACATTTAATGTAATTATTTATATGAATGGACTTAAGTCTACCATTTTACTATTCTTGTTTGCCTCTTTTTTTCTTCCTCTATTACTCTTTCCCTACCTACTTCTGAATTGAGTAATTTTCAGAATTTTATCCATTGGCTTAAAAAATTTTAGCAGCTTTACTAATTGACATTCAATAAACTACACTTTTAAAAAGTGCACAATTTGGGGCCCTGGGTGGCTCAGATGGTTAAGCGTCTGCCTTCAGCTTGGGTCATGATCCCCGGGTCCTGGGATCGAGCCCCATGTCTGGCTCCTGGTTTGGCGGGGAGCCTGCTTCTCCCTTGCCCTCTGCCTCTCCCCTGCTCATGCTCTCACTCTCTGTATCTCTCTGTCTCAAATGAATAAAATCTTTAAAAATAGGCTGACATATGTATGTCCCTGTTGACACCATCACCACAATCAAGAGAATATATGCAATACCCACAAAAGTTTTCTCAGACCCCTTAACTCCCTCCATTTCTTGCTTTTCCCACCCCTATCCCCAGGCAGGTACACTTTTGGTCACTGCAGATTAAATTTTCTATAAATGGAATCAGATTGTATGTACTCTTTTGTCAGGCTTCTTTACCCAGCATAATTATTTTTGAGATTCATCCACGTTGTTACATGTATCAATAGTTCATTCCTTTTTAGTACTGAATATTATTCCATTGTATGAATATACTACAATTTGTTAACCATTCATCTGTTGATGGATATTTGGGTTGTTTACAGTTACTATTACACATAAAGTTACTATGAATATTCATGTACAAGTCTTTGTGTGAACATATGCTTTTTTATTTCTCAAGTAAGTAAAGTATAATGGCTAGGCCTTATGGTAGATGTATGTTTAACTTCTTTCTTTTTTTTAAGATTTTATTTATTTATTTGACAAAAAGAGAGACAGCGAGAGCAGGAACACAAGCAGGGGGAGAGGGAGAGGGAGAAGCAGGCTTCCCGCTGAGCAGGGAGCCCGATGCGGGGCTTGATCCAAGGACCCTGAGATCATGACCTGAGCCAAAATCAAGAGTGGGATGCTTAACCAAGTCAGCTACCCAGGTGCCCAATTAGTGAACTTTATGAGCCTTGAAAAAGTTAGTGTAACTCTGACTTTGTTCTTTTTTAAACTTGTTTTGACTATTCTGAGTCCTTTGAATTCACATATAAATTTTAGAATCAGGTCATCAATTTCTGTAAAAATGCCTGCTGAGATTTTGATTGGGACTGCATTGAATCTGTAATGACATCTTGAGTCTCTTTTTTTTTTTAAAGATTTTATTTACTTATTTGACAGAGAGAGATAGCAAGAGGAGGAACACAAGCAGGGGGAGTGGGAGAGGGAGAGGTATCCTTTTAACATACTGATAAATTCAATTTGATAAAACTTTGGTAAGTTTTGCATCCATGTTTATGGGAGATATTGGTCTGTAGTTTTATTTTTTTGTAACATCTGCTTTTGTTAACAGTAATACTGCTCTCATAGAATGAGTTGGGAAGTATTTCTTCTTTAATTTTCTGTAAGACTTCCCTCATATACAACTGATATCATTTTTTATTTAAATGTTTGCAAGAACTTTCCAGTGAAGCCATTTGGGGCTAAAGTTTTCTCTCTGGAAGAAGACAATATGATGGAGGTGGATGGGACATGATTCCATGTAATTATTAACAAAATCCTAACTTTTGTTGTTCAGTGAGCCGGTGGATGATTATTACATTATTAACAATACTTTCCTAAAAAAAGCAGGCCATGCGTGACTGTGTGTCATTACTAAGGTGTATGAGTAATCTAATTCTGTGTGCCTGAGATAAAAATAACAAATAGCTCTAGTCCTGAGCTATTACCTGAGTCACTCAATCATATCTAGAGTTACCTATTAGAGATTTCTTCTTGTATAACCAATAAAATTTACCCTTCATTCTCACAGCTTCTCAAACCTTAGAATTATTTCTGGGTCATTCTTCTTTTAGATCTCCTAAATTATGATAGATTGTCAAGATTTGTGAATGTTTCTTTCAAATTTGTTCATATATATTACTTCACTATTTTCATTGCCTCCATAATAACAGAGGTGAGCCTTTATCACCTCACACTTTGATTACAATTTGATAATCACACCTAAATCCAAATTTCAATTCTGTGCTTCCTAGTTAGGATTAGATAACATGTGAAAAATTCTAGAATAATACCTAACAGTAGGTACCCATAATTTTGATTAATTTCATTATTCACGGTCTCCCTCACTACCTTTTTTACCCTCTTCAGTAAAAAACTACATTTCCCTGCCAGTGAGCACACATTAATATATTATTTGTGTAATCTAAAAGAGTAATACCAAAGGGTAAGAGGAAATTTTGAGCAAACTCACATAGGATTATAGGGGTTGATAAACTTAGCTAAATTAACTGGCCAGAGGGAACTTCAGGGAATTTGTGTGTGTGTGTGTGTGGTGAAATGAAAGAAAATTGTGTGGTTTGGTGATGGTGAAAAATTAGCCTGTCAAGAACAGTCCTGGAGAATAAATGAATCAGCTACCTTTATTTAATTTTTTAAAAATCTTCAAATTATATCTTGACTTATTTATAGATTCAGAATAAAGTAAGTTTAATTTTTAAATTCAGTATGAGTAAAACCAGTTAAAATAGTCTTTTAAATATCATTTCAGTATTCTGAGCTCTGAAAAGTTGTGAAAATTTGAATAGTACTAATTTTAACTTTTTTTAATAAAATATGAGCAAGTGATCCTTTGTTGAGTTTGCTCTGTTCTGCATTTTGATGATAAAAAAGTTGTAGCAAAATAAGTTTACTGGCTTTTTGTCTTACAGACTTGTCTTTTAAGGTGTAGATTACAAACCAGTAGGAATTCCTATCTCTTAAATAGTTTTATGTAGAGAAAAAAAATTTCAAGATCAAGCAGGCAAATATCTATATGTTTCCTTTATATTTTTTATTATTTTTAAAGATTTTATTTAGAGGGAAAGGGACAAGAAGACTCCACACTGAGCGCAGAGCCCGATGCAGGGCTCCATCCCACAACCCTGAGATCATGACTGGAGCCAAAATCAAGAGTCAGAGGCTCAAGCAACTGAGCCACCCAGGCTCCCCAGGATTCCTTTATAATTTTTAAAAGGTGTGACTCTGCCTGGTAGAAAGAGCATTATATTCCAGTCGCTAACCCAGTTGTCTTTCTGTGCTAAAGTTAAAGGTATAAATTTGACTACGTTTGGATCATTAACTTCACAAGAAAGAATTCGATTCCACAGTCCTTATCAAAACTATCTCACTAATACATCCTTTGATCACATATGAATAAAATGATAATAAACCAAGCTAACATTTATGGAGCCTTTACTGTGTGCCAGGTAATGTGCCAAGTGTTTAACAAGCATGATTTCATCCACTCCCCTCAATAACCCTTTCAGGTAGGGCGCCTGGGTGGCTCAGTTGGTTAAGCAACTGCCTTCGGCTCAGGTCATGATCCCGGAGTCCTGGGATCGAGTCCCACATCGGGCTCCCAGCTCAGCAGGGAGCCTGCTTCTCCCTCTGACCCTACCCCCTCTCATGCTGTTTCTCTCTCTCTCTCTCTCAAATAAATAAATAATAATAATAAAAAAATAACCCTTTCAGGTAAAAATTATTATCCACCCTCTCTCAAAATTTCCAAGCCCAGTAATTTTAAAATTCTTAAGTGGTTGGGCGCCTGGGTGGCTCAGTTGGTTAAGCGACTGCCTTCAGCTCAGGTCATGCTCCCAGGGTCCTGGGATCGAGCCCCACATCGGGCTCCCCCTGCTCAGTGGGGAGTCTGCTTCTTCCTCTCCCTCTGCCTGCCACTCCCCCTGCTT